TGAGAGGGAAAGAGAGAGAGAGCGCGAAAGAGAGAGAAAACGTGAAGAGGAGAGGCAACAGCGGGAAAGGGAACAAAGAGAACGCGAGCAGCGTGAACGTGAACAACGTGAAAAGGAAATGTTCTTGCCACCAGGTCTTAGTAAGCAACAGAAAGAACAGTACATGCAAAGCATGACAGCAGCAGCTGCTATGGCTGCTGCTATGTCTAACCCAGCTGCCCTTCAACAGCTCCAAGCTGCACAACAACAGCTGCTTAGAATGCAAGGTATTGGTGGTGCAGCAGCTGCAGCTGCAGCCGCTGCTGCTGCCCAACAATTACAACCGCACATATTAGCCCCGTATTTACTAGGGCCTTACAATCCATTTGGCATTGGTCAGCTGCAACAACTGATGGCTGCATCTGCAGCTCAGCTAGGAGGTGTTCCCCCTACTTCTTCTGCACCCTCAACTTCCAGCAGTAGTAGTAATAGCAGCAGTAACAGTAGCAAAAGCTTAGCTCAACAACAGCAAGAGCTGATGCGGCAAGCAGCTGAGGTTCACCGCCAGTACCTATTGGACATGATCCCATCAGGTGGCCTACACAGCCAGCAGTCTCACTCCAAGTGGAAGAGCTGATGGGCAGGCGCCTGTCCAGCCTCCCTGTCATCAGCTCCCACCAGCTCGTGTCAGTATTGGTGATGGGACAATGCTGCTGCTGGTGGACAGTGGGACAAAGGACCCTCAGTGACAGTGACTCAGTGTGTTCAGCCTAGCTCTGGCCCACCTACCTGTTATTGCAGTGTTTGTGTCATGGCTGCAGCTGGGCCATGTTGCACCTGGGGTTCCTAGTCACTTTAGGATAAGGAAGCTCTCTGTGATGTGACCAGTGGAGGAAGGGTGCTGTTGGTTCAGCGGTGGCGAGCCCTTCAACCGTGGCGCCAGCAACCAGGGTGGTCGCCTGGTGAGCAGTGTCTGGTTGCTGTCATGGAGTTGGCCACCCATGGAGAAAAAAAACAAAAAACAAAAAAATTCTGAGGAGTCTAAATGGAGAGTTTCAGACACTGGATGGAAGGCATCATCATTCACAGAAACCGAGACGGTGAGGAGGTAGCCTGACTCCTGGACTACTGGCAAGGCAACAATAGGCAACCTTCCATAGTTGAATAGTAGTGAATGACAGTTAAACGGTATTACATGACCACATCCCTAATTTATTTCTGTTGTCATTTGTTGTTCATTACGGTGCAAGGGAATGTCTTTTCTTCACCAGTTAATCTGTATTGTTACATAGTTGTAGGGTGTCATGGGACATGGAGCAAAGGTCTGAGTCTTAGTCCTTGCCTGGTTGTGTCTCCTGGCTGCATCTATGGGTCTCGCATGGTCTAGTTTCATTAGAGTAATAGCGACACAAAGGTAATGCAACAAACCAAGGTACTTTCCCTGCACTGTTCATTTGTTCTTCATGTGATATTTTACTATTTTCAAACCTTTGTTTTAGCACAAAGGTGGACAGAATCGCACAAATTGACCAGTATGTGCTGCTCACAAACCAGACTTAAATTCCATTGGTTTTCAATTTTTTCTTTATTTCTTTATTTCTTTTTTAGTCAGAGCAGCAAAAACATAATTTGCGATTGGGATCAAGTAATCTCATTGAAAAGGCATTTGTTTGCCAGGAACCGGGTCACCCTCTCAGAGAAGGGCTGATAATGTCACATGAGCCACCATTTTCATCCATAACATGAAATTGCCTAATACATGCCAGTGGAACAGGACAGATTACCAGAAGGTTGAAGCATTTATTATGTAGCAATTCTCTTTTTTAAAAAAGAGGGTGAGTTTAGAGTGTTATGTACAAAGTCTTAATTGGATGTGATATAACCAGAGTTTATTGCATCATTACCTTTTTTTGTTGAATGTTTACATACAGATACTGTATTAAGGAAAGGCTTCTTTTAGAAGAAATATCTTTGCCCTGTATTATAGACATTTTTCGAAGGAAAATTCACCAAGAAGCCTTTACTTTTTATATCTTCATTATTGTTTAGAAAAAGTTATTTTTTCATCATTATTTTTTTTTCTATTTTTATTCATTTTTTTATTTTTATGATCAATACAATTTACTTTTCTATGGTCTCCATAATATTCATATCTAATTTTCCTCCCCCCCCCCCCCCCCAAACATTATTTTTTTTTTCACAAAAGGACGCAAGGGGTGTTCGGTTAGCTCTCCTGAGGGTCCTGGTTTCTGGCCATGCCGATACCCAGGAGATTCCAGTTCTCTGTTCAAGTCTTTATAATTGTCATCACTCCAGTTTTCATAGCCATGGCTGAGTTTCAGATTCATGTAGGCTAGTGTTTTCACTTCATAAGTAAGATAATAGGGCCTTTTTCAATAAAGATCTGAAAAATCGAAAAAAAAAGTGTTGGGTTTTATTTACCAATGAAGTTCCTGCTTTGAAAATGATTGAACTGCAAGGACCTATAATTTAATACTCCGGCAGTTCTCTTTTTTTCCCCCAATTCAAATGCTATAACTACAGTCTCAGAAAAGGACAAACTGGCAACTCAAACCAGACTGTGGGTTATTCAGATTCTCAAGGTCTCTTCTAATCAGCTGATACTTGATACTTGTGTATGCATATGTTTTGGATTCCATATGTTCCGTATTTTTTTAAATACGTTTCGTTTGCATATGTTTTAGATTTCAAAATGTATAAAGTATTTATTCTTTGGAATTTGCTGCATTCAACACCACCTATTATGTTCCCCTCTAAAGCGACTCTGCAAATCTGAATACTCCAGGGTACGGGTGGAGTACAGTTGTTTCTAGAGTTTGTAAGGAATGTGTTGAAAAATAACCTCCAATATAGGGATGGACAAAATGCACGGAACCAAGGTCTAAACGGATTCAGATTCAAAATCTCTATCCAGTGCAGTGAATTTATGCGATGTTATTTCATTTGCATTTACGTGACAAATATTTCCACCAAGAAGTTTATACCTACCCCCCCCCCCCCATCCCTTGCTCGTTCTTCCCCAGGGGTGGCTTAGGAGGCGGAGACGGAGGCCCAGTGTCGGGATCACCCCTACCTTGGCCTCAGCCCTCGTCTCGAATTGCGTGGTCTTTTCTTCTCCTTTTCTTTCCTTTCTCTTCGTCCCTTCTGTCCACTTATCCTAATTGTTAACACTTTATTACCCCTTTTCGCCACAATAATTGGTCCTAGTGCTGTGTGACTTTTGATATTTGGTACATTTCTTGTTTTGACCTTTCTGAAAATCCATAAACCGCCTTGTGAACCGAAACACTTTTCACTTGGGGTCTTCGTCCCCAAGCCCCGCCCAATCGCTACATTATGAATACGCCGTTAATGACCTTAGATGTTGACACGGCAGAAGTAAATAAATATAAACAAGATCGTCCTATACAGCCTCCCCCCCCCTCCTGCTCATGCTCTTTGTTGCCGGTGCGGGTGGGAGACTAGGACCCAATTCTTGGGCCTCGGCCTCCAACTCGACTAATTTTGCTGTCTCTTCCCATTCCCCTTTTTGTTTCCTTCTCTTTTCCAAAGCCTTCTACTATCTACTTTTTTAGGCGTGAGAGCCGTGTTGAAAGGATGAAAGGCTGACTTTGTCAGTCTGGGGAAGCCATGGGCACGGTATTCCTCTATTTTTGTTTAACGCTTGCCCCCGAGGCGTGGACCATTTCCCTTCCCTACATAATCTACCATGGCCAGTATTGAAGCCTTCGTACCATTGTTAGGGGCAGAAAGGCTTGCTCTTTTATCAAATTGCCCTTTTCTACTCTGAGCACTGCTACCCCCTCCTCAGTGCCTACTACTACTTCAGTCCAGTCCATTTTATCCATCCAGGTCAATACTCAATCCCAGGGAACATTGCATCTCTCCCAACATCCTCTACTCCATATCCTCCAGCCCCACAACTTTCTTCTTCACTACCCTACCCTTTCTTCTCCCTTATTACTCTGCAGCCTTATTGGCCATCTCCCCGCAGTACTCTCTCTCTCAACACTACTACCTCTTCCACACACCCCCATCCTTCTACTACCCCCACTACAAATCTCTTGAATACTCTGTTTAGGACATCCACATTGGATCGACCCCCCCCCCCCCCTAGCCCCTTACTCAAGCATTGCCTGCAAAAGCAAGTGGTAAAAGTTTCCTTCCGCAGGTGTCAGTTACATCCGAATCCCAAGCTATAGCATTATCAACCCTGACTAACTTCACTGGCAAACCCATTCCTGCCCAACCTCCTCCTTTCCTCATTATTTTCACCTGCCTCGCATCTGTCTCGCATCTTCCTGACAAACTGCCCTGTCTGATATGGATTGGTGAAATTGTGGAGAAGACTTACTCGCATTCCCCTAGGGACGCATTAAAAATAAATAAAGTGAAATACATTTAAGGGCGGCGGTCAAACGGAGGCGCTCGCTCTGGCGCTCACGAGCAGCTCGAATCTTTGCAATTTCGTTGATTAAAAGCAATATCCATTCACTCCCATGCACTTTTAATACTGTCACACATACACAGTCTATGCATAGTATTTTATGAACACAGTATTCATATCTGTTTTTTTTTCCATTAACCTTTCAAAAAACAATCTGCTATGACATATACCAATTGTCATCTCTATTAACCCAGCGTGCGCGGGCGGCAAGATTACAATGCCATGCCCAATGCAGTAAGTTTTATTTATTGTCTTTTTGCGTAGATGGCTCTCCAAGTCACCAAGCAGTCGGTTTTTAGTCTTACCTATCTCATCAGTTTACCCTTTTCCCTCATTTTTAAAGCTTCACTTCTGTTATCCTAATGTCTTTGATGTTATTAATATTTGAATAATTTAATAATCAAAATATCAATAAGAATGTTAGCACAATCAATATTAATAGTATTGGAAAGAAAAACGCATTTTCCCGCCAATTCAAGGAATGGGGAAATCAGGATTAGTCACTTGGGCCAACTGATAGACTCCTTGCTGCTGGACACACGTGGAGCCATCT